TTCAATAAAACCAAACAAACCTACTCAAAGATGGAGGCCTCCACTATAGAGGCAGTCAAAGGCCCCGCGAGCAATCAAAAGGCTATCAGAGACCCCCCTTGTCTACTCTACTCTCCTCAAAAGATTCGGTCACCCGGTAAATTAGGGGTTCGAGGCTGGAATGGATCACCTGATGACGTCACACCTTTAAAAATGGTTTAAATAAAACGTTGGGCACGTGGCCCGGCCAGGGCTTGTCACGTGAGGTGATGGATCGGTCTTGTTGTGTGCTCCGACAATGCTAGGACAGTTAGTGTCTTGTTGTGTGTTCCAACAATGCTAGGACAGTTAGTGTCTTGTTGTGTGTTCCAACAATGCTAGAACAGTTAGTGTCTTGTTGTACGTTCCAACAATGCTAGGACAGTTAGTGTCTTGTTGTACGTTCCAACAATGCTAGGACAGTTAGTGTCTTGTTGTGTGTTCCGACAATGCTAGAACAGTTAGTGTCTTTTGACAATTGAAAAGCATTTATTGACCTTAGTCAACTTTTACAAGATGAAAAAAAAAAAGGACATATATATACTTGTTGTGTGTTCCAACAATGCTAGGACAGTTAGTGTCTTGTTGTACGTTCCAACAATGCTAGGACAGTTAGTGTCTTGTTGTGTGTTCCGACAATGCTAGAACAGTTAGTGTCTTGTTGTGTGTTCCAACAATGCTAGGACAGTTAGTGTCTTGTTGTGTATTCCAACAATGCTAGGACAGTTAGTGTCTTGTTGTGTGTTCCGACAATGCTAGAACATTTAGTGTCTTGTTGTGTGTTCCGACAATGCTAGGATGGTGTCTTGTTGTGTGTTCCAACAATGCTAGGACAGTTAGTGTCTTGTTGTGTGTTCCAACAATGCTAGGATGATGTCTTGTTTGTCCAGCACATCTTCTACAACAATCCCTGGTTGTTTGCATAATCCCTCGAACTGTGAACAGCTCGGCACAAGTTCGGCTCTCACATATATTGTATTTTGTAGAAATCTCTTTTATGTTCAAATTGTGAGCATTCTTCAGCGTGAGTTATTTTTATTCGCAAAAAAAAATAAAGAGCTTTTTTTGTAAAAATGCAATAAAGTATCAGACTCTCCCATAAATAATGGCCGTTTTAGGAAACACATTTTTGAAAAAAAAATACATAAATAATTTGGCAGCACATGCATATTATATATTGTTCTAAAGCTTACCTCACGGGCATTCACGTGCAGTCATCATTTCGAAAATTTCACGAATGATACAAAAATCTATAATTTAAAATATTTAGCAATGAAGCCTAGGAATTTGCGCATTATTTCGCTTCACGAATTTAAACTTGGACGTTCGGCCGCCCAGGCAACCATTACATTATTGAGGCCTGGGGAGAAGCTTCTTCTTCCGAAAGAACCACAAGAAGATGGTTTCAGAAATTTAAAGTTGGCGATTTCGGACTTGAAGATCAAGATGGTCGTGGTCGTCGGTCAACCTTTAAAAATGAAGATCTAAAGTCTCATATTGAATCCAATAATACCCTAACAGTGTGTGAGGTAAGTGCAGAGCTTAATGCTTCAAAATCAACCATTGCTAGACATCTTTACCAAATTGACAAAACAAAACAATTGTCACAATGGATCCCGCACGATTTGAGTGATGCTCAACGTCAGCGACGTCAGGAAATTTGCAGCTCTTTGTTGGCTCGCAATAATTTCACTCCTTTTTTTAAAACAAATTGTTATGTACGATGAAAGGTGGGTTCTTTTTGACAAAACAGGAAGAGATCAAGGCAGTGGTTAGACAAAGATGAGGACCCAAAACCAAGCTTGCATCCAAAGCGGATAATGCTCATTGTTTGGTGGTGAGATATGCTAGATTATTGCATTACAGATTTTTGAATAATGACGAACCGAAAATTCAGAAGTGTATTGTCAAGATTTGTAAGCCAAGCATCTGAAATTGTCAGAAAACATGCCCAGTTTGGTCGGTCAATAGGAAAGGCGTTATTCTGCTTCCCGATAACGCTCGGCCACACTCTACATTTACGAACTAACAAAAAATTGCTCAATTAGGTTATGAAGTTCTAGCTCACCCTCCTTATTCCCCTGATCTGTCCCCTACAAATTTCCATTTTTTCAAGCATTTGGATTTTTTTTTTTTTAAATGGAAAACGGCTGATCAACCGGAGAAATGGGGGAAAACGCCTTTTTGGATTCTTTGGCCTCAAGACAACCAGACTTTTATGAAAATGGCATAAAAATGTTACCATCACGTTGGCATAAGTGCTTTGATTCTACTGGTGCCTATTCTGTTTAAATAAATTCATTTTTGGCTTAGATATGGTGCTTTAACTGGTCGCTTCCAAGCGGCTATTATTTATGGTACAACCTGATACTTCGATTTCTTTATCACATTCAGCGCAGAGAAAAATAAATTATAAGTAAATTTAAAAATAAATATACAGATATGACTTCTAACTATATTTTTCATTTTTTAAGGTATGCATGTTTATCATATTTTTTTACCTGTGGTATATTTTGAAAATCTTTGTTCATTTACAGATTTAAATCATTTTAATGAAATATTTTTAAATTTGCAAATATAGAGTATTAATAAAGGTAATATATTATTTGGAATATTAGTTTTCCAAACATATATTTGACAATTTATCCCCAAAGCTCCATAGTTACACTACATTCCAATATATGTTGCCGGGTAGAGTAGAACTAGTCTACACTACAATAGTGAAATAGGTCAAGAGATAACAGTACAATCTTCAAAACCAGCTAACAGTACAGCTTCTATAAGTAATATCTGTAAAACCAGCCAACAGTACAGAATTATTAAAAGCTCTAAGACCAAGCACCAGTACAGTATCCACCAGTACACGTTGTAAAATCATCCAGCACTACATCAGACAACAGTTAGAACCGTGCGGCAGCTAACGGCACAAAGAGTACAGCCAGCCGAGAGTACGACGCCCACGTGGGCTCCATTGTACCTCAGCCAAGTTCGACACGGCTCCAGACCCCGACTGTGAAATTTCCCATTTTTTACCTCTCCAACCGCCTTGACTCGCACGTTCTCACCCGGACAGCCTGCTTTCCTTTCAACACGTCCACTAAACGACAATAAAGTTGGATCTCTATAGAGTTATGTCATGCAATGAAAAATATTTCTGAACTGCATTACATGTAATTTGCAAAACCCTTTTTAACAATTTTATCTTATCGGGGAAAATCATTTCCTTATCGTGTAGCTGAAACGCTTTTGATTGGCATTCACTATCTACTGGAATTCTATATACAGTTACGAGCGTCATGCGTTCTTAATTCTTCAGTTTTCATCTCTGTCACCGTTTGCTTTTTTTTTTTTTTGGAATGGCGCTCTCCTATTGGTTGGCTACGATCACGCCACCTTTGCCCCCCCCCCCCCACTCGCTTCTTCGTTTTTGTAACAATTGTGTTGGAGCGGGTCGCTCCTTAAATAAATGCATATATTAGTTAATAACTAAATGGAATCCTCTCTTTCTTTTACCCAGTAAGAGACGCCTACGGAAGCCAACAGTACATAGACAAATAAAGCACATAGGCTATAGTTATTAACTAACATATGCATTTATTTAAGGCGCCAATTTATAATTGTAACAAATAGTATTTGAATCAAAACATTCAATCGGGTAAAACACGGGCGTTGCCCGGGTCATTCGGCTAGTGTATATATATGTGATAATCTTTATATAGCAATATGTAACCCCACCACAATCTATGCAATGTATCGTCAAAAGATTTAATAAAAGTTAGGCTTCGCGAGAAGGGAAATAACAATTAACAGGATTGCATCATCCAGGAAGTAAAGGTCATTGCCCTGGACCCATAAAACTAAAGTTCAAAGGCCTTCTTCTTCCTGTAGGATTGCAATCATGGCGAAAATGGAGGTACTACGCTAATTACAGTTAAGCATGACAAATCAACAACCAATCACCTTTAAGCATGACCTACTGATAGCGAATCATCAGAGAGCACGTGGAAGGATCTCCACCAATGAGAAGCCGAGAGAGTTAATGACGATGATCTCGGACAAGAAGTTAAAAGGAAGGTAGGTGACCGTGCTAGAAGCAAGGTGTGCTCAACATAGGCTCCCACCAAGGTAGTGTCCGCTCCATCATGTGAAAGGCCAAATACCTCCTCCAGTTATCACTCTCCCTTTCGCAAGGTCTTATTTCTATCCCATCCAGGTGTGCTCGTTATTCCCCTGTGGAAAACCACCATTCGACCAAGACTGAGCCACCAATCACCAATCAAATCCACCCAACCACACAATTCACCAGGACTCAACAGGATCCGACATAGACTCGCCAGGATTCGACAGTGAATCCACAGCAATCCCACAGTAAGTCAACACCCCAATTCGCACCACAACCCCAATTCGACAGGATTAAACACAATCTGACAGAAACACGACACGATTGTTACAGAGAGTCGACAGGATTCAACACATGCTACATATATAATACACTGCGGCTTGTGATTGTAAAACAACACTTGAAGTTACACCGCATGAGTTTATTTTCAACAAAAAATCATAATTTTATTTCAAGGTGAAATTTTGACTATTTCTAACCTTTTTGGATGAGGTATGAAAGGGTGATTTATGAAGAGTAATAATGAACGGAAAAATAAAAGTGTCCAGGGATGGGAATCGAACCCACAATGTTCCGCTTACCGGGCAGATGCCATGCCCACTAGGCTACCCTGGTAGCCCCCTATGAACGGGCCCTTTTCCGTTCATAAATAATACATAAAGTAACTTATAATACAATATAATACACTGCGGCTTGTGATTTTAAAACAACAATTGAAGTTACACCGCATGAGTTTCTTTTCAACGAAAAATCAAAATTTTATTTCAAGGTGAAATATTGACTATTTCTAATCTTTTTAACCGCAGTGTATTATTTTGTATTATAAGTTACTTTATGTATTATTTATGAACGGAAAAATACGTCCAGGGTAGCCTAGTGGACATGGCATTTGCCCAGTAAGCGGAACATTGTGGATTCGATTTCCATCCCTGGACCCTTTTATCTTTCCGTTCATCATTACTCTTCATAACTCACCCTTTCATACCTCATCCAAAAAGGTTAGAAATAGTCAATATTTCACCTTGAAATAAAATTTTGATTTTTCGTTTAAAAGAAACTCATGCGGTGTAACTTCAAGTGTTGTTTTACATGCTACATATGTTGCGGCCAAAAAGCCCAAACTCGATCATTTCGCGAATTGACCGCCCAAATGACGAACTGGGCAAGTGTGGAGTATATTGACCAGGCCAAATCAGGAACTGGGCAAGTGTGGAGTATATTGACCAGGCCAAATCAGGAACTGGGCAAGTGTGGAGTATATTGACCAGGCCAAATGACGAACTGGGCAAGTGAGGAGTATCTTGACCAGGCCTAAAGGCGAACTGGGCAAGTGTGGGGTATATTGACAAGGCCAAATGACGAACTGGGCAAGTTCGGAGTATATTGACCAGGCCAAATGACAAACTGGCCAAGTGTGGAGTATATTGACCAGGCCAAATGACGAACTGGGCAAGTGTGGAGTATATTGACCAGGCCAAATGACGAACTGGGCAAGTGAGGAGTATATTGACCAGACCAAATGACGAAATGGGCAAGTGAGGAGTATATTGACCAGGCGAAAAGGCGAACTGGGCAAGTGTGGGGTATATTGACAAGGCCAAATGACGAACTGGGCAAGTTCGGAGTATATTGACCAGGCCAAATGACGAACTGGCCAAGTGTGGAGTATATTGACCAGACCAAATGACGAAATGGGCAAGTGAGGAGTATATTGACCAGACCAAATGACGAACTGGGCAAGTGCAGAGTATATTGACCAGGCCAAATGACAAACTAGGCAAGTGAGGAGTATATTAACCAGGCCAAATGACGAATTGGGCAAGTATGGAGTATATTGACCAGGCCAAATGACGAGTGTTACGGCCAGGGAGGATTGCCGCTCGGGAGGCGCCGTTATAAACCAAAAGGTTTCAAAGAAATTTGCTAATATATTAAAAAAATATAAAATATAAAAATTTCATGGAAACCATATAACCCTATTTCTCAATACATTAACAACCACATGAACACCCAATTGCCAAAAAAAGCAGGTTTAATTTATGAAGTGAAATGCGACAAGTGTAACCAATGCTATGTAGGAGGAACAGCCAGAACTTAAAAAAAAAAAAAGAATGAAAAACCATGAATATGCTCTAAAATGGGATAAAATTGAAAATGCTGCACTTGTAGAGCATAGAAAAATCACAGGACCTTAAGAGAGACAATTTTAAAAAATATTTTTCATCAAAAGAAATGTGCTACAATTAACAGAATTGAAGAAAGAGGAAATATCAATGATATTTATAGATATGCTTTTAATTATATCTAAATAAAGAGGATGACCTTCTCCTCAAACTATCGTTCCTGGGTCGGTTGCACAGTCATATAAAACCAGAATATATTCGGTCTAACCACTTTGCCAGCTAGACATCTCTTTTACAAATTGTGAAGATTTCGTTTGATCCTTTGTGGGTCTCATGAAGTCAAAGTCCGCCCTGGACTGACGAGAGCCATTAGACGGAACTCATCAATAGATAGCACCAGGTTTGGACGTCTATTTTCACGGGAGAGGCGACTTTTATACATAACTAGCCGAATGACCCGGGCAAAGCCCGGGTTTTACCCAATTAAATGTTTTTATTCAAATACTATTCGTTACAATTATAAATTGACGCCGTGGATGTCACTCTTGTGAAACGTCCCGCTCCAAACCTTGTATCTGAGAAGCGATATTTTTATAGAGAGATGATCTGGCTTTGTGTCTTCTCCTCGAATTATTGTTTTTCTGTTATAATTTTGTTCCTGCATGCTAAAAATGAACTGGCTCCACCCGTGGCCTCTGCCTTTTGGTATTTATACCGATATAAATTTGTATCTGATAATCAAATATGATATAGTAATATTGTCACCATCCTTTTCTGACAAAAAAAAACAACTATTTTTGCCCAGCACCTCTCAATTTCAATTTTTCTTGGCTAAAAATGCGATAAATATCTCTTTCAGATTTTCCCTATGCCCTGTTAAAACACGGTTTACATGTACATTAGGTCAGCTGATATTACCTCCCATCTTCACCGCTAGAGGCGGTGCTTGCGAGCGAAAGGGCAAATTTGCAACGCAATTTGCAAATTACTCAAAGAATATTCGGGATAGAGACCTGAAACTTTCACCATCAGTTTTTCCAGATTCAACTCTATATACTGTTAAAATATCAGTCATATTAGTTACGTATTGTGGACGTGTATAGCTGACAAACATACATACATGTCATAATTTGTATATAATTGTATGCACCCCCGACCCACTATGCATGTACAATGTATGATTTTCAAAGATTTAATAAAGAATAAGGTAACTGGAGGAAAGAAAGTAGCAACAAGACATAGGAAGCAGGCTAAAAGCGGGCACAAATTATTAATAATTTGTACAGTCAATACTTCCTGACAAAGCCGGACGTATCTGGTGACCGCAAAAGTTATAAAAGTAGAGAGACGCCCAATATTTCCGGAGCAAGACCGGACGTATTTGATAACCGCGGAAGTAAATAGGCCGGACGTATCTTCCATCAAAGAAAGCCGCAGGACCAATTAGAAAGTATCCCCTAAATAGGTCAACCAATAGAAAAAGGTCATGTGACATCTTTCGACCAATGGGAAAGAAGCTAAGTCTTGGTGTTAAATCGAGAAGCTAGTATTGTCAGTGGCTCCTTCGCTCCCGACAAGGTAACATCTGCTCTCGAGACCTCCCCTCTCATCCCATAGCTAAGCCAATCACCGCCATGTGATCAGATAATTAATAAGTCAAAACCCGCTCCGCTCTTCTCAAGCTTTCTTTCCTCCAACCCAGTTGCCTTTTATTTTCAAACCCCATCACGTGTCCTGATTATTCCTAACTGTATGCTTCAACTTCCACTCAAACGACTGCGTTTCAACCAAATCTCACCATTCTCATCGAACAACAAGAAATTCCGCAACGATATTGTCACAGAACGGTTAAGTCGACAGGATAAAGAGATGGAGATTAATCAGGATTTAATAAGCGTAAAAACGGACAACCCTACGAAAGAAAGAGGGAAGAAACTGGCAACGAGCGGAAAGAAGCTGGCAACGAACGAAGCGACAAAACACACCCTGGCGACAATAATTTTGCAGTTGACCGCCACACTTCAAGGAGCAAGGTCCACTCAACTACAAACGACGTTCCGTAGCGCCACCCCCGGAGCAGCCCACACCCCCCGCCGACCGAAAGGCGAGATGAGCGCGGCAGCCGACGCACGTGCCACCACCCCAGGCAAGTGTCACCGAGACCGGACACCGACCACCGAGGAGTCATCCACCGCCATGCCGTACCCGTACCCCGCACTTGAAAGTAATCCGCACAAACCGGGACAGTGCAAACGGTCCCGAAACGACATTCCAGTACCGGACTTCACGCCAATTTCGCGGACGGTGCGAGCAGTCCCGAGCCCCAAGCCAACCAGTCCAAGCCAAGACGTCCCAGCCGAGCCGAACTTTCGAGACTAAGGTAGGCACCCCCCCTATGACGTCAAGAATTGACTTTGAACTCTTATCTAACCCTACCTACCCCTTTAACCATGTATCTAAACATGTACCAAATGAATGCAAGCACGGGCTAGGCCAAACCTGTCCGAAAGGACTTGCACTGCAATCAAATTTGTCACACAGGACAACCCTTGCCTGCATTCATTGACCCCACCACCATGTTTATCACTCAACCCAATTACCAGTACTATATGCCCTCAAATAACCAAGTCACAACGACTTCAACTTGTAAACATGCCCAAAACGCACCCACACAGCGGGACAACTCGCATACCGAGCACATAGGTGATCACACACCGTCGCACAACTACCACATGACCAACCCACACAACGAAATCGACACTCACACTAATACACAACAAAATCCTTTGCCACATGCATACTACAACACAACATCTAACACTCACTATACACCGCAGTTCACAACACTTCTACAGAGATACACTCACATTTTCACACAGAACAAATTCAACGTACCATGCTTACGGATTCCACCAGTAAAAATACCCACGAATTCCGATAAAATAATTACCATACGTCCATATCGTGTTCCGATATGTGACCAACAAGAAATCCGTCATCAAATCCAACAAATGCTGGAGAACGGCATCATAGAGCAATCTTTTTCACCTTTCTCGAGCCCTGTCACCCTCGTCACTAAGCGCGACAAGACCAAACGGTTTTGTATCGATTACAGAAAGGTGAACGAGCTAATCAGCTCTGATGTCCATCCCCTCCCGAGAATCGAGGATATCCTAGACCGCCTCGCACAGGCCAAATATTTCTCCACGGCAGACATATCCTCCGCGTATTGGCAAGTCCCGATACACCCCGATTCTCGACCACTGTTAGCATTTACCACCCTCGAAGGGTTATACCAACCCACTCGATTACCTTTCGGATTAAAAACCAGCCCTCAAATTTACGAACGAGCCATAAGTCAGGTCCTACAGAGACACGGACTTGACTGTGTGGCACATTACTTTGATGATTTCATCATCTACTCCAACACATTGGAGGAGCATCAAAACCACCTGCGACAATTTTTCGCCTTTTGCGAAGCGGAGAAGCTACAACTTAACTTCGTGAAATGCGAATTTTTAAAGCAGTCCATAGATTTTCTAGGTTACACCATTACAGCTGGTACAATTACACCACTCACACGCAACACCGACATTATCCACGCCATCAAACAGCCACACAACCGAAAAACACTACAATCCTTTTTAGGCGCTGTGAACGTCTATAACAAATTCATTCCGGAATACGCTCGCTTGCGAGCACCACTCAATAACCTCCTCAAAAAGGATGTCGTGTGGAACTGGAATGAAGTTTGTCAAAAGGCGTTCATTGACCTGAAAGGAAAACTCACACAACACCCCATCTTACACCTT